GCCATACGCCGAGTTTTCCGAAGTGTTCAATATTTACTAAATATATATTGTGAATTATTCAGATGGATTCGGCGTAGATGAATCACCTGCCACCATAATTCCTGTTTGGAAAAATTATTCGAGTCCTATTTCTTGGAACATCAAGATTAAGAAGTGAGAAAGACTATACTCAACTGGAAAAGAAATGACGGCCTGCTTATTGCACTTTACACCAAACATTGAATAAATTGTGAAAAACACCAGGCACAGTTTTCACACTAAATAAGTTGCACAAATTGTTGAATAGAAAAACTGAAATAAAGTAAGTTCATATTTATGTGTGTACTTTGTTTTAAAAATCTATGGTTTTATTTCATAACAATTAAATGTATAATCTTTAAAAATATAGCCAATTCCTTACAGAAGTTTTTAATTCTTACTCCATAACGCTTGCCTCGTAGTGCCTTTTTCATTGGACCACAGAGGAATCATGTGTGAATGTTTGTAGGAGTCTCTACTTCGGTAACATAGAACTTGTTCAGTGTTCTTTGCTTTTGACGGACTTCCAGCAGGGGCAGCCATTTTCATATCAGCTCATTAATTCATGTATCTGAAAAAAATATTTAGATAATTAAAGATCAAGTGTAGTTCTGGGTTCTGGCAGCAAGACCTCTGATCAGGAGATTGTGAAGCCACCTCTTAATTGCTGTTCTCAGGTCCACTCTAAGCCCGGGTGTTAGCATCCAATTACATGTCGGGGTTGTACCACCAGTTAGGGTCACAGCTATGGGCAAATAGCTAACCACTACCAAGGAAAAAGAAACAATAAAAGTATAAAAATGACATGTTTATTGGAAAAATACCAATTATAAATTTCTATATAAAAAATACTAAGAATACATTTTATGGTAGAATTACCAACAATATATTTTATAGGAAAATGACAAACAATACATTTTATCTGTAGTTGAAGTTGCGTTCAAAACCTATTTAATTGAAGCCAAACAGTGTTCAAAATATTTAGATTTCGGCATTAAATAACCCATAAAGGTGTTGATATGCCGCTAAACAAAAACGACCAACATGAAAGAAATATTTCTTGACATTAATCCATATAACATCGAAAAATTTTGTAAATCAAACTGTATTCCAAAATATAACTTCAATAAAACTACAACATAAAGCACTCATATCACCGCCTCTAATAATTATATCCACACAAACATGTATATTCACTAAAGCTGAGCATCATCTACCATATATTCAGTTGTGAAAGTAGAATAACATATGTCATATTTTTATTCAAAACTCCCCAAAAAATGAAATTTGGGCATTAAATGACCCATGACGGAGTTGATATGCCTTTAAACAAACATATCCAATATCAAACATTAACAGGGTATGTTCCTTTACATTTCTGTACCAAATTTTCAATAATTTCATTGAGACATGCACATCCTATGACACCATATATATATATATATATATATATATATATATATATATATATATATATATATATATGAATAAAAACAGACCACTTTAAGGTTCCATGTAATAAGTTATTTCACCACAATCCCTTTAACAGGGCACTGGATCATCAGACTTTACTTCCAAAGGTTGAAATGAAAAATGAAAGGAAATTCACACGTTTTTGATGGACCGCATCAAGCATATGTAAAATTAACGAAGTGAGGTAAAGTCTGATGATCCAGAGCCCTGTTAAAGGGGTTATGGTGAAATAACTTATTACATGGAACCTTAAAGTGGTCTGTTTTTATTCGAACATATCGGCTCTGAATTTTACATTGAGCTCTCCGGATATCATCCTCCTTGGGTCTACCCATGCGGATTACCTAGTTTTGCATAAACTATATATATATATATATATATATATATATATATATATATATATATATATATATATATGTTCTGTGCGTGCGTGTGTGTGTGTGTGTGTGTCTGTGTCTGTGTGTGTATGTACCAGGTGTAACAGAAAAAACTGCCCAAATCATGTAATATCAAAATTTTCCAATTGTTAGATTAAGTTTGAAATGTTATATCTTAGAAATGGTTAAAGATATCTTACTGGAGTTCTCCGAGGTTCTTATAACACTATTGGACTCTACTTTGAACAATAAGAATGTATTTAGTTCTAAGCTGAAATGATGATCTCTCTTGTTGTTGTGACCTCTTGATCCAGATTTCTTCTCTCCTCTTTTTAAACTTATTTACCGTTCTCATGATGGTTCTTCAATGGACTTTGAAGTTAGAAGACAGGGTATGAATGTTGGTACTATTACTGATGGTCCTTTTCCTCTCACCATTGCTCAGACGGGAAGACAGTGGGTCTGACACAAAACGATTTTAACCTGTTCTCTTTCTAGCTAAATAACTCAAAGGTTTTTTTCAGTGATTCTTACCGACAAATGGCGTCAAGATGGCTAAACGTCTTATCTGAAAACCTGGAAAAAAGAAAATTAGTTTAGTGTTTTTTTAGATATTAAACATTTTGTGGGATGGACAATTATACCATGCTGTTACACGATTTGGACAATTTTGCTGTTACACCAGGTATAAGTGATGTAGTATGAACTTGCGAAACGTAGTGAGGCAAGCAACATTGTTTGCATTTTGAATTTTTTTGAGGGGATCCAACCGACAGATGATGACGAAGGTGGAACATCAGTGACCATGTTCTAGTTCTAAACGTGCATTACACCCAGAGGTTATGGTGGTTCCAATTTAATATATATGATCCAGCCCAAAGGTACCGACCCACACATCATCATCTTGCGGCCTCAGCCGAGATTGAACTCACCAATACTTTGATTGGTGTAGTTCATAATCTTATCAAATAGCTGAATTCTTGATGCTTCGCTAGGGCTATCAAGGGTTTTTTTATCGTGACACCATCACTAAATGGATTGCCAACCAAGGCTCAGAGAGACTCCATTCACCCTCCTCTAAGAGCAGGTTTTCCTCCTAGACCAGTTGCCATCCAATGCTATAGAACCCAGTCTGTCCTGCTATTTTACCCATAGCTGGAGGGAGAAGAAAGAGGATTCCCACATTTCCCAAGGGTGTTAGCACGTGAATTTAATGGATTCGACTGGAATTCGAACTCGGCTCTCCGATTCCTCAATCCAAGCCGCTATCCATTACTCCACCGTGCCTCCTAAGAAATGCCACACATAATAGAACGTCTTCTAGAGTTGGCTAGATATATTATAAGTTGCGTGTAGCCTCATCAATAGGGAATGTTCACAAGATAAATATTGGTACGCCTACCAAATCCCACCTTCGTCATCGACTTGTGTCACATTCTGTACGAGCGGGCACATAGATAAATACCTATTTCATCGCCAGGAGGCTGAGTGCTTAGAATTTAATAGATATACTCCAACCTCAGCGTGTCGTCCCACAGGTAATATATCTTCTTCGACATTCGGCTAGGTTCGTTGTATATGGCACCTGAGGTGTCCGCAAAATGAGCAGTGACAAACGATCGAGTTAACAAATCTTGCTTCAAGACTCGATCTTGTATCATATCCTGTTTTTGTTTGGTTATTTTTAATAATTCCATCTCAAACCAGGCGATAATGCCACAAGAACGCAGGTAGGGGGTATTGAAAGTGAAAGTGAAAGTGAAAGTGAAATTAAAGCGAATGAGACTACGAAGAATGGAGAGGTTTGAAGAAAGGACAAAATGAACGGGGTTCAACGAAACGGGAGATAACGATTGACATTGCACTTTTGAAAATTCTAGTTATCAAGAAAGTGACAAATCGGAAGAGTGTTCTACAAGTGAGAGGTGCGAGAAAAGAAACTGCTAGAGTAGAAGTGGCGGTTGCATCTAAGTATTTCAATAGTAAAACGTTGATACCTAGTTGCCAATCAAGTGGCACACTCAAATTAATGGTGTTAGGGCACCAGGGAAGAAAGTTCTTCCGAGCAGTTGCCATGGAAATATTCATAGAAAAGACAGAGGGAAGACACGTAACATCGGTGAGAAAGTGACTAAAGACGAGATACCTGGTCATGATCGATTAAATTACAGACCCTTCTTTGGATTTTGTCAAGAATATCGAGAAATACAGCAGGAATATCAGAACAGATATGACAAAAGTATTCAATGTACGGACGAATAGTAGATTTATAAATCTGCAAAATACATCATGACGATAAACTATTCAGTACGAATAGGCGCGTGAATAAATGCCAGGGGTCCAGATGGTTACAATTTAACAAGCCCCAGGCAATACTTCTTCGAGAGGAGACTAGGTTGGCCCGAGGTGCCCCCAAAATTGGAAGTTCCGAACGGGCTACCGTTCCACTTTAAACTCAACCTATCGTGACGTTTAACGCGGTTACTTGTTCAGATAATTACCTACCTTATAGCCAAGGTTCCTAGTCGCCATCTTGAATTTAGCTCAATCCTTGTTTAAATGCTGAGAATGTGAATTCTGGACTAATTAAAATAATACCTAATATAGATCGTTGGTTTGTAAAATTAACACAAAAATAAATTGAGATTGCGACTCACTCACCTGTAGACGATATCTAATTTTTTACAATAAAGTAAATGTTAACTAACACATATAATAAACACCGAATTTACACACGACGTGGCAAGCCACTATTCAAGGTAGTACCTCTGCTAAGAGGAAGACATATGTTCAATACCTGACACGTAAGGCATCCACAAAAGGAAAATGTCGATAAAAATTTAGTAATTTTTATCTTTTTCACAGGCAGACGTGTAACTTTTAGTTTAATCTCGGCCATATTCTTTTTTAATATGGCGTCCGTATATATACCTACAATTAGCAGGATGGGCTATTCCCCCAAGTAGTACCACTCTCGAGAAGGAAGTCTAGGTTTAATCCCTAGCGGCAGAAGGTGTTCCTAAAAGGTGAAATATAGAAGGAACTTAATCTTTTTTTTTTATCTCCAATCCTATAAATGCGTGGAAATCCCAATTTAATATCGGCCATATTCCGTTCGACAAAGTGTGCGTCTTACGACGATATCACATTGAAATACCGGTTCTCATACGATCACCAAAGTTAAGCAACATCAACCCTGATCAATATCTAGATGGGTGACCGCTTGGGAATGCAGGGTGCTGTAAGCTTGGATGTGCAAGTGGTGTAATGGACAAGGCTCGGAATTGGAAATAACCGTTTTCCAATTCCAATTGGATTAGTTATATTCACTTAAGCGAAATTGTCTTTGGGAATGGTAGGAATCAATCTGTTCACTCTCCCCAGCGTTAAATAGTGGAACTTGTGTCATTAAGTATTTTTATCTCCAAAAATTCTTATAATATACAAGAATTTTTAGAGATAATAATACATTTATACAGGGTGTGATATAAAAAAAAATTCTATCTTGGAATAACCTGTTTCGTAATTAACCTTCCTTGCAAATGTATGCCATCCACTAGAATTAATTATTTAATTACTTTTACTTATTAATATGGACTCCTTGACGTTCTTAGATATATAATTCATTAATTGTGATAACTTTTCTATTATTTCCTATTTAAACTTCCTGTTTAGAATTGGGTTTCTGGTTCCTTCTGAAGTCATGTCCATCTCTTCTACTTCCGGTAGCCCCTTGCGTCATAGTGGCATTATAGCCTTGCTTGAATTGTTGCTCCTTATTCTGTAACCGTCTACCTCGAGTGGCTCTTTGGCCTTGCGCAGGGTGAAAATAACTGTAAAAATAAATCTTAGAATTTTTTCTTTTCCATAAAGATATTTTTTTTACTGATATAGTTCTTACTATTTTCATAAACAAGTTTCTCAATGATGAACCACAAAGTTTCTAAGTTCGAAAAGCCTGGGAGACATTCCATTAATTTGGGGGTCTTTGAAACGTTTTATATTTCTTTTGCCAGATGGGTAATAGCCAGAATGTAAAGGAGCATTCTTACATATATTTACTTTTTAGCTTAAAGCTTCTCGGTTGTGAACTGTATCATTCTAAAGAAATATTTTCCAAAAGGTTCGAAATATTCCCTGCGTTAATATGGATAACCTCATCAAATTTAAAGCAACCTGTAATTTTACTGCCTTTAATAGCAGCCCAAACGTTTACAGCACCTCTGCCTCTTCTACGGTCTGTTCATTGGATATATCTATAAAAGGTCCAACCGCAAGCCAAGCCATCGGGCTCTTCCAGGGTACCTCTAGACTACAAATTACTGTTTAGAGATCAATTTTCACGTATTCCTACGCCAAACATCAGACGTTTCATTTTGTGATGTTCATTTATACAGGCTGTGATATATAAATTGTCGTCTAAATGAAACAAAAATGAAAATAACCCTGACATCTCATTTTAACAGATATATTTACCAAAATTACACACATATATCTTGAAATACGAAAGAGTAGATTTATTCAATAAAATCTCCTGAATCTCTTCTGAACTGTCTATTAGTTTAATTTGGTGAATGCTGCCATAATCTTTGCCTTCAGTTTACATCGAGCAAGAATGCAGTCAAATACCTTTTGAATTGTTGGCTGCTGCTTGTTATTTCATTGTGTCCGTTGTCAGCAATGTTGTGATTATAACGGACATTAATTTGAAAACATGCGATGACAAAATCTTAAGAGCATGCATCTATAACATATACTGTCTAGATATGTATTATTTAAATTAGATAACGTTGGTTCTGGATGCTTGAATTATTTCTTGAGAAAGCTTCAAAGTGTATATATATATATATATATACATTTTTGAGACACGCTGTATGTATGTATGTATATATATATACGAGACGTATCATGGTTTTCCATGTCAATCTTTGCTAGAGTATGCGAAACATCACGGCATAGCCACACGTCTCTCCATCTCAAATCATAAAACTGTGAAACCGGTAACGTTTCTCTAAATAAACATTCTTAAAGACTCCAGTTGTATTTTTAACTTCTTTATCCTATTTTTTTTTTATTAAAAATTACTTTCATATATATATATATATATATATATATATATATATATATATATATATATATATACAGCAGTAGAGCCCGGCGTTGCCCGGGGATGTAATAGTAAGAGATAGATCAAGTATCGACCATCATAAAGACTGAAAAATAAAATTGACAAAGATTATTGTTTAAGGTTGACGGACACGCATGTCTTAATTAGTTTTTTTTTTTTTTACGAATTGGTCAAACCCAAACTCAAACAAAAACATTGTTTTCAATCATTATGAGTCTACCCATTGAATAGAATTTTATTATAAACAATTGTCTTGTAAATGGAATTTTTAAAGCATTCTGAATGTAAAAATAAAAAAAAAAAAGTGTGCAAGACAATAAAAACACTACCTGCCAAAAAAAGTGAAGTTTTGTTGAAATCGGTTGAAAAATGTAGGAAATCCGATCCCATATATACAACACACACACACACACACACACACCTGGGTTTTTATAATAAGTATGATTTATAAATAAAATATACATTATATATATATATATATTATCCCCATTTGTGTGTTCACGCGATGTGTTAAATTTATAATTTGTGTTTACATGTTTTTTTTTCAAATTGTTCTTTTATTTCATATAAAAAATGCCCCAGTTTTTAGTTTGTTTTCTTTTTTGGCTTCCTCTCTCATCTTTTCATGTCAGACCAATGCAAATCAGACGACAAATTTTCATATATACACGTAATGTCCTGTGAAGTTTTCGTATAATCATTTACTGTGTCTAATGTGAAAATTCATTTTTCGGAGGAATTTTAGGTCAACGAATCAGTTCAATAATAAAATTTACACACACACACACACACACACACAATTTTTATTCCCACCCTGGGTTTTCTAATAAGTTGATATATAAATATAAATATACATTATATATATATATATATATATTTTATATTTTTATGTGTGTTATGTGTTTTCTGTTTTCTTTTTCAATTTGTGTCTGATGAATTGTGTGTGTGTGATTCAATGTAATAAATTATAACCATTGAATATTATTAAATTTATAATTTGTTCTTGAAAATTTACATGTTTTTTTTTATATAAATTGTTCTTTATTATACATCATATAACTTATAAATGCCCCAGTTTTAGTTTATATATTTTATATATATATATATATATATATATAGATTGGGTAAATCCTTATAAGGCCTTTTAACGTGCTTCACAGGTCTCTCATTAAATTTCATGTATACATAAGCTTAGTAAATGCAAATCAGACGACAAATTTTCATATATACACGGCAATGGAAATTGGCTAGATTTTACATTTGATCGTATAATCATTTACTGTGTCTAATGTCACCAGAAATGTATTCACATTTTTCCGGAGTTTTTTTTTTTTTTTTTTTTAATTTTAGGTCAACGAATCGGTTGTGATTTTTTTGCATCGGATAATAACTCATATTTATCTGTATCTCACTCACTGTTATTTAACTTCTCTCTTTAAAACTTCTCTCTTTTAATTTTTATTCCCCACCTAAAGGCCTTTCCTGTTCTTCTTTCTTCCGTTACAAAACCCTCTAGAGTTTTCATATATTTCCCTCTCACCCTTGTTTCTCACTCTCACTGAAATTTTATATTTTATACCCGGAGTTATATTTTCTGTTTTCTTTTTCAATTTGTAGATCTGATGAATTGGATCATGTGGCAGATTTTACGATTCAATGTAATAAATTAAGATAACCATTGAATATTGATTGTTTGCAGACTTTTATATTTTTCCCTTCTTGGATAGTCTGTCGTGTACATCTGAGGTTAGCTCACCTGGATTTTATCCTCATATATATAAATATATATATATATATATATTGATATTAATATAAATTTATTTCTAGTATTGACCAACAGATATTATCTTTGTTTTCTGTATATATATATATATATATATATATATATATATATATAAAATATCTTCCCAGATATCTAATAAATCAAATAACTAGATATAAGCAACCGTATATATGTCAGGTTAACGTGCATACACATATCCAACAAATCGGACATCTTTATTAAATTTACTTTAATTCGGTCGTCCTCATCTTTGTAAACAAAGCAGTGCTTAGTGTGGTTATGTTGAACTAACCCTTTATTAAGAAATATATATTAATTCCAAATATATATTTATATATCACCTTACGTTTGAAGGTTCTCCACTACCTTAGACTTCACACTTTTGGGTCCTGTTGTTCTAACCAACTCATCCACTGTGCCATGTGTCCGAAATATCATTTATGTTTCATAAATAAAATTTCGTACCTAATGAAATAATCGGGTAATATATTAAATACAATCCCATATATCTGATCCTTTATCTACTGCAAACGATGAGACGATAGCCCGAACAGTGTAAATAAATATATATATATATATATATATATATATATATATATATATATATATGATGAATATTCAGTTGCGTAATAATATCGCATTTAACCACCATATAAGTTATTTGAAATTATTTATCAAACAAAAATTATTATTAATTTAGTTGAAATTCACTTTTTTTTGGGGTACCGCCTTTACATCCATACATACATACACATAAGAGCGTCAAAACTAAGGGACAAAAGGTAAAGAATATTTGAGAAATAGTAAAGCTAAATTTTGACAACTAAATTATAAAATTAAAAAGAATCATTTGAAGATAACGTTTTAACAATTATTTATTTTCAAATTTGGAACGTGAAGACAAAAAAATTGAAAAAAAAGTAAAACAGTATGCTATATTCAAATTTTTTGATTTTCTAAAGAATAAGTTCCACAAAAATTGCATCAATGGCACCATAGAAACGAAAAACTGTTAGCATAGAATTTGACGGTTCCATCTAACCATTTCAGTTTCAGAGAAAGTGAAACGTCCCAAGATTTTTCCGCCGATTTAGTACTGCCCTGAATTGGCAAAATAAGGTACTTTTAAAACCGGCAATGTTAAAACAGAACAATTACGATTAAAGTATTTATAGAATAGGTTAAGTCTTGCACAGAAATTAAAGGTTATGTTACGGCGGAGGGCAAGGAACTAAAGACAAGATGCCAGGTTAGAACCCCAAAGAACCATTGCAAGATTGTTTTTCAGATTTTTGCAAACAGGTCTAATTTGGACATATATAGCAAAAGTGCACT